GGTCCATGCAGAAGAGGAAAAAGGAAGGATTTTGAACTCCGATATCTTCCTCTTTCCTGCTGTCTTTCCTTCATGTAATACATGGGCACCTGAAAAGGGCCTCTTTTAATTTTCACATTTCTGTCTGGAAGGAACTTTCCTTGTGTCCTACTTGCCAAGTTAACATTTACATCTACCCATTCAATAGCACAGGATGCAGGGAGAGAACTCAGTTTTTCAGGAAGGGAAGATATATCAAATGTAGTTCAAAGTACTATTTTCAATTTTTAAAGAGGTAGATTTTTCCTCCCTGTTTTTCCATTTTTAGTCATATTTGATGTATGATTTATATAAAATTTACTCTTTTTAATTGATGGTTTGATTGAGTTTTGACAAAAATATATCGCTGTGTGATCATCACCAAAATCAAGATTTGAACACTTTCATCACCCCATAGTCTTCTCTCATAGCCCTTTTTAGTCAAAGTTATTCTCCTACCCTTAACTCCTAGAAACCACTAATCTGTCACTTAGTGTCACATTAAAGGAATCATACAGCATATACTCCTTTTGTGTCAGGATATACTCTTTTGTGTCAGCTTTCTTTCACTTAGTGTAATGCCTTTGAGATGATTATTGCTAATTACTTTTTCATTGTATGGATATACTTTATTTGGTTACCCATTAATCAGTTTATTGGGCTTTTTTTTTTTCAGTTTGTGGCTAATGTAACATTCTGATATACATTCTGCTATCATAAATGAACCTCGATGCATTCACGAGTAGTTCTTTGTATGTACATATCTTTTCACTTTTCTGGAGTTTTCTGAAGTGGGTCTACTATTTTTCATTCTTCCAACAATAAATGAAAATTCTAATTGTCCCACATCTTTATCAGCTCTTAGCATTTTATCACTCTTTTTCTTTTAGCCATTCTGATGGCTATGTAGTACAATTTCATTACAGTTTTAATTTGCCTTTTCTTAATGATCAATCAGTGATGTGCTTGTCATTTATTTTTCTCCTTTGATGAAGTCTCTGACCAAATTTTTTGCCCATTAACAAAAATGTAGTTGTTTTTCTTATTGAGTTATAAGTGAGAGTTACTTGTGTATTTGGATATAAGTCCTTTATCAGAAATGTATTCTGTACATATTTTCTCCCAATTTGTGGCTTGATTTTCCTTTTCTTATGTGTTTTTCAAACAGAAATTTATAATTTTGATAAAGTCCAATTCACCTACTTTTTCTTGTTAGATTTTTATTTTTTGTGTCCTAAGAAATCTTTGCCTGGTGCTAGGTCATTCATAAAGATTTTCTCTCATGTTTTCTTTCTGAAGTTTTAGGTTTTACATTTAATTTTAATAGTTTTGAATTTTTTTGATGGTGTGGGGTTTATTTTTTTTACTATAGATGTTCAATTTGTTGACAAACTATATTTCCACATTTACTAACTTGGCACTTTTTGGGAAAATCAACTAGCCATTTATGTATGGGTTTCTGAACTCTGTTTTGTTCTATTAATAAATATGTCTATTCTTACACCAGTGTCTTGATTACTGTACTTTTGCTTGTTTTTCAAAATTCTTCAATATTGTATATATCAATTAGAATCAATTTATCAATATCTACTGAAAAAACAAAGCCTGCTAGATTTTAAAAATTGGGATTACACTGAATATAGATCAGTTTAGGAGATAACATTTAATAATACTAAAACTCTTCTAATTTATGAACATTTTATATGCATATATATCCATTTTTAGGTTGTCTTTATCACAAAAGTTCTGCTTTTAATTTTTGAAAGAATAGCATTCCCTCCTCTATTTTTTTGTTACTTACTTCTTAAATAGCTTTATTAAAATATAATTCACATGCCTTACCATTTGTCCATTAAATTGTACAATTGATTGGCTTGTAGTATATTCAGAGTTGTGTAACCCTCACCATAGTCCATTTTAGAACATTTTTATAATGCCCGATAAGGCCCATTACCCATAGTTGCCACCCTCAACCTCCCATCCATTTCCACCACTCTTCCCCACCCTTGCTCAAGGCAACCACTAATTTACTTTCTATGGATTTTCTCTTCTGGACATTTCATATAAATGGAACTATATAATTGTGGTCCTCTGTGACTGGCTTCTTTCAGTATCATGTTTTCAGGTTCATTCATGTTGTAGCATGTATCAATATTTCATTTCATTTTATTGCCAAATAATATTCTCTTGTATGGATATAGCACATTTTGTTTGAACATTCATAAAAATGTGTTGTTTTTTTAAAAATATATTTTATTGAGTTTTTACAGAGAGGAAAGGAGAGAGATAGAGAGCTAGAAACATCGATGAGAGAGAAACATCGACCAGCTGCCTCCTGCACACTCCCCACTGGGGATGTGCCCGCAACCCAGGTACATGCCCTTTGACCAGAATCGAACCCGGGACCTTTCAGTCCGCAGGCCGACGCTCTAACCACTGAGCCAAACCGGTTTCGGCCATAAAAATGTTTTATTTCAGGTTGTATTAAATTTGTTTTTCCTTTAATATGATTTCAGTAGATTAGTATTTTTCCCTCCTCTGCTTCATATGCCCTAAAGATGGCAATTGCAGTTTCATTCTATTAACCCTTTGGATTTGAAATTAGTGTCAAATACAAATTTTTAATAATTATTCAAAATTCTTTTTTATGCATCTAGCTTCTTTTTTTGACAAATAAAACTTTGTAATTGATTATTGAGCTTTTTTTTTAACCTTTTACATTTAGAAGCCATTTCAAAGCAAATATTTTCAGTTTTATAAGGTATTTTTAGCACTTACTGTTTCTAACCTGTCTGTTGAGACTTTCTTTTGGAAATCTTTCATTATAAGGAGATATTTAATTTGGGGAGAGGGGCTAAATAGGATCATTTAAAATGTATTAGTGCTGCTTTAATCAAAATTACAAGTCTTTCTACTCAGATCTTTATCATGTGATTTAATAATAATAATGTATGAGATAGTATGATTATCTGACCTTATTTTTGAAACTTACTTAAGGGTAAGGTAGTAAAGCCATTAGAGACAGGGGAAGGGAGAAAATATTTAGGAACTACCATGACCAGTATATTGGTAGAGACTTTCATATGTTAACTTACTTAATTTTTATAGTTGGACAGATATTTTTACTATATTATAGTTTGGAAACTAAAGCTCAGGCTGGTTATACTCCAGCTTTAGTAAACAACTCTAACTTAGTAAAACATCTATCAAGTGAGACTCAAGTGTACAGCATAGTGATTAGGCACTCACATACTTTACAAAGTGGTCCCCCCATATTTCAAGTACCCACCTAGCACCATACATAGTTATTAATACAAAATAATATTGAATATGAACTGTAATTCAAGAGTAAAATTAAAAAATATATCAAGTGAGACTCAGGCCAGTCTAATTCCAAAGCCATTGTTTTCTTTGTGTATTTTTTGTTTGTTTGTTTCTCCTCCCCACCCCCAGTTACTAAATGATACTGTATATACAGGGAGACCACTAAATCTGAAAACACAAATGAGTAGATAATACAGGAGTGGGCAAAAGTAGGTTTACAGTTGTGAGTACATGAAAGTTTATTCTTGTATTATTATTTAATAACTACTAGAGGCCCGGTGCACGAAATTCCCTAGGCCTTGCCAGCAAACAGGGCCTATCAGGGCCATCTCGCCCAGTCCCAATCAGGGCTGGGCCAGTTGGGGCCTGCTGGCTGCCAGCCAGGGCCTGCTGGATGGGGAGAGGGACTGCGGGAGGTTTGCTGGCTGGGGGGAGTACCTGGGGGAGGTTGGCTGGCCGTGGGAGGTTGGCTATGGGAGCGCACTGAGCATCTGTCCCCTGGTGGTCAGTTCGCATCATAGCAACTGGTTGACCAGTCGTTCCGGTCATTCAGTTGTAATGGTCGCTTAGGCTTTTATATAGATTGTGTGTTTTTTCCATATGAACAACTGTAAACCTATTTTTGCCCACCCCATATATGTCCTATTGATATTTCATTACACAGCCAGTAGCATATCTTTGATCTATACTTTATGACCACATTACAGAGAAAATATACATAAATAAGTACTTATTCAAACAAATACAGTACAAAGTCTGTATTTTCTTTAATCAGTGTCTTTCAAGAGAATTAAGTGAGTGTGGGAATTTTTAGGGATCATATATCTTGGCTCTGCTAAAGGTTTATTTTGAAACTTCAAAAACTTAAATATCTCTTTGTTAGGTAGTTTACTGTAGACTTAAAATAATAGTATTATGTTTATTAAAAATCTCATTTTTAGCTCATTAAAGAGTTAGGGAATGAATGAGTAAAAAGAAAGAAATAACTAATAGTACTTTTATTTTTAAATTAGCTTTTATTTATTTTTTCAGTTGCTTTTATGTTATTTATTTGAAAGTTAAAATTTTTCTCTTAAGAATATCTGTTTTAAAAAGTCATAGTTTTTTTGTATCTTCATGACTGATAAGTTGACGATCAGCAAAAATATGACAGAACTTGCAAAGTTCAAATGGACTTTTAATTCTCAGTACCAAATAATTTTACCTAATTAAAGCTTCTGTTTAATTAAGATAACAATACATAGTCCTTCATTAAAACTAGCACAGAAAAGTTTTTTCTTGGTCCTTAGAGAGGATATTATATTCAGGCCTGTTGTGTGGGTTGCAAAATGTCACTGGAATTTATATGCATTACTTGTCTAATTGCAGTAAATGTAGCATGTCCGGATAGGTTTAGAGTTAGAAGGCTGTTTGTTACTTACTGGAAATTACTTGAAACCTCAGTACCCACAGGCAGCTGTGCTCAGGCCCTTCACCTCTCCCCAGAGATGGCTGAGAAGACGCTGTTGGACCCTGTCTTTCATGGTGGGAGCAGTAAACATGACAGGTTGTTTGGGAGCCATCTGTTTAAAATGGCTGCTGCTTTGCATGTAGCAATGAACTTGAGATCAGTTTTCTGTCTTTCTTCCTGGTAACAGTCTTATTTGGTGTCACAACAGGTGGAAGTTGATGGGTCGAAACTAAATGTGACCAGCACGTGGAACCTGGCTTCACCCTTATTATCTGTCAACGTTGATGGCACTCAGAGGACGATACAGGTAAGTGTTGGGAGGGTGTACCTAGAGGACTGCGTTAAGTCAGAGGTCCTTATCAGGGTCTGTGTGGTTAATACTCACAGACATGCTAGGGGAAAGCTGCATTTTATTACCGTGTACATTGGATGGTTGGAAACAGTTTTTCTTATTTTAGAGAATCTTGAGTTAATTCTTATTCAGAGAAAACATTGTTTTCCTTTTTCAGGCAACTCAGGAAGGGTAGTGTATTATATTTTGTTATAGATAACGCATTCTGCATGCTTTTCTAAAACTATTAGATTAGTAGTTTTCCTTGCCATTGTGGATTTTCAGTTGTAAAAGATGACTGATTTTATTACCTTCCTTTTCTGTATAATTGAAATGTGTAATATCAGATCATCAGAAATATGAGCTATTCATGTTGGCTTGCCATAGCATGTTGATACCTTTTAAAAATTGAGTAATCTTCATTTGTTAACCTTTCTTTTACCCCCAATATAAAATTTATTGCATTGAGGAGATGTCTTGAAAACCGGGGTTGATTAAATGTTCTTTGTATTCTGTGACCTCCATTTTAAAGTAGGAAGCTGTGAAAGAGATTCTGCCAAAATTCCTCCAGCTCACCTCATAGTTGAGGTTTAAGGTTCCAAGAAAAAACAAAACCAAACGCAATAGAACGTGTGGCTGTCACATGCAACTAAAAATCATAGGCCCTCCATAGCATTAAAGTCTCACTCTTTTTTTATGAAAGTGTTTTGACATATTCTTAACTTGATTTTACACAGGAAATAGATTTTTAAAACCTAAAGAAATCAAGAGAATCACAGATAGAGACTGCTCTTCACCAGGCTCATATGTCCCTCTATCTCTATTAGAGACTAGACTGTGCAGCAGAGGATTCCAGAACCCCTGCTAAATGGTTGATGACTAAACTAATTTCCAAGCCCGGTTCAACCTGTATGTTTCTAAGGAACAGTAAATTCTCAGTAATGAGCCCCATATTTAAAATTTGGTTTTATGACTTGTCCCAGTATATTTTTCTCTCATATTTTCTTTCATATTCTAAGTATGATGTTAAATGCTTTGAGCCCTTGAAAAAAAATCACTGTATAGTTTCGTATCACTTAGATGTAGTTAGTGTGTCTTCTGAATGCATGGTTTTGTTATGCTTGTTTATGTTCCATAGAACATGCTCTGCACTGAAGGTGCTGTGGCTCAGGCATCCATGTGATTTGGCTGGGGGACATAGTCTGACCTTTCTGTAGTGAGTAGAGAGACACACAAAGTTCTCTTGTCCAGATCTTTGTATCATGATATTTTCAGCATCCTTCTCAATGACTATGTGGATATGTGTCTTAATGTCTCTTCTACAAGTAGAGCTCCCAGCTAAATTAACACTGGATATATATTTACAATAATCCCCAGAAGTATTTTTTTGGACCATAGGAATATGGTTCAGTAAATTCATTTTTATTCTTTAAGATTTTGTTTAAGAAAAAAGTTAATGTGAAATAAATGACACTTCAAGGCAGACTCCTTGATTCTTTGGAGAGGTCATTGCTTCCAATTCAGTGCTCTCCATTGGAAGGAAATCACCTGGGGAAGTGAATGCTATACTGGAAAAAAAAAAGTCATTTACCTAAAAAATAAAGTAAGGATAATTGTTCCTTATCAGAACAGGTAAATTTTATATACTTTGTGTGGGCATTAGTGTTGACTCTTTTTATCTCCCCAAAATAATAAGGCCCCTATGAAATTACTGTTATCATCAGAATAATAACACACAGTGCCTACTGTGTATCAGGTTCAGTTCTAAGCACAGTACTATATGAACTCTTTTCATCATCACAGAAATTGCATGAAGTAGGTACTATTATTTATACTTTTTTGTTAAGTGAAGTAACTGAGGCTCAGAGGAAGTCAAGTGACTTGTTCAAGGACCCACAGGTAATGAGGGTAGAGCCAGGATTTGAATCCAAGCAGTCTTACTGAGGACCTGTGCTGCTACACATCACCCTGTGCTGAGGCTAGCTAAGTAACTGCCCTGTGATTACAAAGCAAGATGAAGCTGAGCAGAAGTTTGAATCCTGGTAGTGTGACCCCGGACTCTGTGCTCCTAGCCAATATGCCAAGAGTACTTTCCAATTTTCCGATAGAGTTCTTGAAATGATAATTTACCTTTCATTCATGCTTTAAGCCAATGATGCTCAAACTTTAGTGTGCTTCAAAACCAACTAGAAGATTTGTGAAAACTTAAACGATTAGACTGACCCACAGAGTTATTCTGATTTAGTAGGTCTGGCCTAGGTGAGCATTTCTAATCAGTTCCTAGGGAGTTTTGACCCTGCTGATTCAGGGTCCACAATTTGAGAACCACCACTTTAAAACTTTGCAATCAGAGAATCAGCTGACAAATGATGAGCAAAAGTGCGGTAAGCAGGAGGCCAAGTCATTTGAAGCCTTGTTAGTTACAGAGTGTCCACTCTGTTTATCCTTAGCCAGTGGGACTCATGGCAGAATGATGGGCCTTGGGACCCCACCCATGCACAAATTTCGTGCACCAGGCCTTTAGTAAATTTATAAGAACCAGAGGAGAAAGAACTGGTGGCTTCAAAATGTTTTTTATTTCTCTTCCACCTGCCCTTAAGCATAGGCAGATCTTCAAGGTTCATTCCTAACTCCATTTTTCCTCTATGCTGACCTCCTGGGCCCAGTACCTCTAAGCAGTTTAGCTACAAAACTACTACTACAGTGTGTTTGGATTTCTCTTGTACTTGTTGATGCTAAATTCGGAGAACAATAGGATGGATATTACCACAGGTATTACAAGTGATTTTACAGTAAGAACTGCGGGGGGTTTTTTCCCTGGATTTTTGCACATACATTTAAACTTTTTATTAAATGCTTTATCTACACAGGGCAATATGTATTAATCTTGTAAAAGCTAAAGACTAATGCAATGAACCTGTTTTCCTACCATCTAGATTAAAAAAGGAGCCCTAGCTGGTTTAGTTCAGTGGATAGAGTGTCAGCCTGCAGACTGTAGGGTCCCGGGTTCGATTCTGGTCAAGGGCACAATGTAGTGATGATGATATTAATAATAATACATGTGCTGGTGTTTTTCCTCATTTTGTAGTTGGGGACACTGAGGATTGTAGGGGATAAATTGCTTGCCCATGGCATTCTGTGATAAATGAAAAAGCCAGAATTTGAACCCAGAAATCTGTGCCCTTAACAATTGCGCTTCATATCCTAGGGAGCCTTGGTATCTAGACTTACTTAAGTTTTTCCTGACTGGTGGATTTAAATGGCATCTCTTTGTGGTTTTAACATATATTTCCCTGACTGTTAAAGACAGTGAGCGTTTAAAATATGTTTATTGACAGACCTATTTTGTCTTCTGCAAGATGCCTGTTCATGGTTTTTGCTCATTTTTAAATATTGAATTGTTTGTCTTTGATTCATAAAAGTTCTTTATATTGTGTGAATTGTGATCCTTTGTTATTTATATGTGTTTCAAAAAACTTTCCCAGTTTGTAGTTTGTGTTTTTACATTTTTAAATTTACCCAAGTGAAGTTTTAAATCACAGATTTAATATCAGAATTTTCACTCTTTTCCTTTATGGTTTGTGTATTGGATTAAAAACCCTCTTCTACTCCCAAGCTCATAAAGATGTTGCCTATATTTTCTTATAAATCTTGTAAATTGTGTTTTTTTTCCACATCTAAATCCTTAATCTCCCTGGGATTGATTTTGTTTATGCTATAAGATCCAGTTTTACTTTTTAAAATGGATAACCAGTTGTGCCAGCACTACTTAGTCATATTTTTCTGCCACTTACTTGCTAGCTACCTTCTCACCTTTCCAACCCCAACATTCTTTAAAAGGCTATTGTTTTCTATGAAGTGTTTCTCATTTAAATATAAGCAAAATGCTGATTTTTCCCTTAATATGAAACTCTGCTTTCACAAATTCTTTGCCAATCACTCTCTTTCATTTTTCATTTATCTTTAGGGAATCCTTAGCTACTTAAAAAGTTTGTGTTTTGCAGAACAAGGGTATCAGATGATAGTTGAGATACAATAAAGCATGTTCATGAAATGGGAGGTGGATTGGGACGCATGCAGGTCGGGAAGTAATGTGAGCTAATTAGCATGGGAAATAGATTGGAGGAGCCCAGTTATGAATGAAAGGTTAGAGTCTGTGCTTTTCAATTATCAGTGGAGATACCATTGAAACTTTGTGCAGAGTAAAGTAATGCTAAACAAGTACCTTCTATCCCTTACCCACCCCAGCCCCTGGCAACCACCATTCTACTTCTGTCTCTATGAACCTGACTACTCTAGGAACCTCATATAAGTGAAACCATGTAGTATTTGTCCCTTTCTGACTGGCTTATTTCTCGTAGCATAATGTCTTTAAGGATTATCCATTTGCAGCACCTATCAGAACTTTCTTCCTTTTTAAGGCTGCATAATATTCCGTTGCATGTATATACCATAATTATTTTATCCATTTATCTGCCAATGGACATTTGGGTTGTTTCAACTTTTTGGCTATTGTGAATAATACTGTTATGAACATGGATGTACAAATATGAGTCCCTAGTTTTCTTCTGGGTATATACCCAGAAGTGGAATTGCCGGTTCATATGGTAATTCTAGTTTAATTTTTTAAAGAACCACCATACTGTTTTCCATAGCAGCTGCACCATTTTACACTCCCACCAGCAATGCACAAGAATTTCAATTTCTCCACATTTTCACCAGCACTTGTAATTTTCTGGTTGTTGTTGTTTTTTATAATAGCTATTTTAATGGGCGTGGAGTGGTATCTGATTCTGGAATGGGATTTATTTAGTTATTGAAAAAGCATTCAGAGTACTTCCCAATATTTGCCCTTCCCCATCTGTTTATAGAGTAGCCAATTCATTGCATAAATGGAACTTTTTAGTACAAATAGAAGCAACTTTCTTATAATTGTTCTTTCAAACCCATTGTCTCAACTTATTTTTTTCCTCCCC